AGCCCCAGACTTTGCCTGCTGCTACTCGCCTGCGTTGTTAATCAGGATGTCCAGCCTCTTTTCTCTCTGGAGGAAATTCTTACAGAATTCCTTCACCGAGCGCAGGTTGGCCAAGTCCAGCTCCATGTGGGCCACGTTGAGACTACGACTCTTGAACTTGATGTCCCGGACAGCCTTCTCCGCTTTCTCTGGGTCTCTGCAAGCGATGACCACGCGGGCCCCGCGGGTTGCCAGGGCAACGGCTGTCTCCTTGCCTATACCGGAGTTCCCACCTGGGGCGGAAATAGCATAATAAAAGCCTATTTGTAGGGTTGTGGTTAAACCCAGTGGTCTAGTTTACAATCATCTGATGTATATGATGTACACAATGTTTTCATTTAACATTTCTTAGTGATAGTAGTCACACGAAAAGAGAAAAAACAGGCCACCTTACGTGCATCGTTTGCTTTGATAAGGGAATGTATTTACCTGTGATGAGTACCGTTTTACCATCAAGTCTTTTCAGGTCCGTGAAATATCTTCGCCTTTTCATCCATTTCAGGATTAAAAAGAAAACTAAAGATGCGATAATTGTGTACAGAAAATACATTTCAGCCTGAGCTCCACTTCGAAATCTGTCACGAGTAGCTAATGATGCTTCAGGACATGCTAACTGCTTAGCGTGCTAGCTGAATGGGAACAAAATGACATATTAATCCTTCAACTCCATCTTTCTGCCTATCGTGCCAGCAAACGGCTTGAAGCAGATATGACCGCAGACGAACTTCACAATCCAAACTATATGTATCGCTAAAAAATATATGGCAAACCGCTTAAATGAATCTAACCGGGAGCAGTGAAGTGCTCATGCGCGAAATGACGAAGTCTCGCGAGAGTGGACCTTTCTGTTTTCCGCATGGCTGAACAGTAGACGTAAAACTTAAAGTTGAATGAAAATATAGGTAATATATACATAGTACATTAGGACACATATCTCGTTTAATCGTCCAGAATGTTCTTCTTTTGTTTGTACCCTTTAAGCAAAAAAATAAATAAATAAAAAAACTCCATCCAGCCGGCGTAAAATGAACGGATCCTGATTCATATTAAGTAACTCATAAGTTAAACTCGTGATCCGGTTTGTTTGCTACCTTCACTGACCTTTGGTACAGGTCACAACTCTTGGGTTTCTGTCAAGAATGGTTAAAGTGTTCGAGGTGTTAGTTGAATTGCATTTTTTTGCTCAACACAAACATGAGACAGAGTGTTTTTCTATGGGGAATTCTTATTTTGACAGCTAAAACAACAGGTAAGTACAATTCAGAACTTTTTTTTTTTGTTGCTGATTTAAACTTATATGAATGTATTAATTGATTGGTGGATATTTGAGGCAAAATAACGGCGGCATGGTGAAATAACGCTGCTATGTTGAATATTGATATTTGGCAAATATTCCTAAGCATTGTGACTTATTTGTTTATATTTTTACCAGGTCAAACATGCAGAGGGGGGTGTGGGGGGGTGATGGAGGGTTGCTCCTGTCAGCCAGGCTGCCTAACGGTGAAGAACTGCTGCAGGGACTACAGCCAGGTCTGTCTGCAGGTGTCTCCTCAGACCAGCTCCATGCTGGGAGGAAGAGCTCTCAAGATCCTGAATTTGCTCCTGAGTCCTGACGGGAAACTCGTCTGCAGGTTTGTTCACGCACACGAACAGAAATCCATTTAAAAAACCCAGAAATGGTTATTCATTTATTTTTGTTTACATGTACAACAGATACACTATACATTTTACATCTTGCAAAAGCATTTAGATAAGGATTTTAGCTTTAGAAGGATGGTGGCGGTGTGTTTTATGTTCAGGAGATCCTGCCCTTTTTTTAATCTTCATCTTATTATCTTCTCCAAAAGTTTTTTCCTCAGTGGCAGCTTTTTCACCCATTTTCAGACCAGTCCCCATAAATATTTTTTTACAGAAAATTGTGAGGGTTTTTGTTTTTGCTTTGTTATTTTTTGTAACGTCAGTTATCGCTCATTTATAGATGATTCAAGTTTAAAGTAATTTAGTAAAGAAACTCATTTAAATAGTATATTTAGACTTTTTAATAGCAGATCGTCACAAAGATGCATCATTTGTGCCCAGATTTTGGATAGCATTTAAAAGAAATAATGAAGATTTTACTTAGCTATTCTATAAAAACTTTGTTCAATCTGGAATTTTTACATAGTAAAGTGATATGACATTATCACCACCACTTTTTTTACCTATACATATATACATATAGTTTTTTATGTATATATCTAGCTATATTATATGAGGAATTCTGTATATATATGTACAGACATGTTCATATGTATATGCCTTTGTTTTACTTATGGAGCCTGTAAGAAAAATAATTTCCCTGGGATTATTAAAGTATTTCTGATTCTGATTCTGAGATGTAAAGCTTTGAAAGTAATTATTACAAAGGCAGTTGTGCTATGAAATGTAAAACGTATTCAAAAGCATTTAAAATGGTTACTCCATTGAGATTATCAGTTTTTAAAGAAGCTAAAGGAAACATAGACATGTAAGAGCCGCTCATAAATCAAATAAGTCGAAGTTTGTCTGCGTTTCAGGTTCAAAGGTGAGATTGAGCGTGAGGGATTTATTGATGAGGAGGGCTATGCCTTCTGTGTGACCCCTCTGCTGTTTGAGACCGGCTGGATACCGTTTGATATCTCTACTGATGGCACCACTTTTGACAGATCTGGAGAATACCTCTCTGGTAAGCCGTTTGGATATCATGTAGAGGTTTTTTTTTTTACACACGTCCTCCCCTAAACAAGAAAATACAGAGCCTGTCAACGTAGGCTTATATGATTTGGAAAAGATCAGTTTTATAAAAGTTTTATGAGGTACTATTCAAAGTAAACTTTATACATATATATATATATATATAGATCTGAGGAATCTGATCCGAATGCCTGAATTAATCTTTCCAAAATGTCAAATCACATCAGTATGAACACATACAAAAATGACAAAATTACATTTAGAAATAATTACAGCTGCCTGCAAATGAATAATGTTTCCAAAATAAACAATGAAATAATATTGAATAGTAATCACATGAAAAGAAAGGTTCATATTAGGCCTTAGAATTAGGAAAATACAAGTTCAGATGAACATATATGATGTATTACACTGTGTCACTATATATTAAACAAAAAATAAGCCCAAATGCAGAAACTGTATGAGTTTATATGGGAAATAAGAAGGTTAGTATCAACCAGCTGGTGCTACTCACAATTAAAGGATCCTCCAGGTCAGACTGTGTAAAACTAAGAGAAACTGCAAAACAAAATAACTTTTAAGACTTCACGGGTCTCGGTTTGTACGTTTATTGTGCAAATTACCAACAACACAGTTAGAAAAAGACTTGAAAAAAGTATTTAGAGGGTTTTTGGACGGCTGATGATTTGGGCTTTTCTGGTTGCCACAGGACCTGGACAACCACATTTTTTAATGTTCAGAGCCTGTTCTAAACTGCTCGAGGCAACTGGAGAATGACTCGTACAGAAAACAAGAAACATTAGCTGTTGAATTGTGGGATGCACTGCTTTTTTGTAGTGAAGATAATTCTGCATCTACCTACTTTTAAAACCTTGCAAACCTTGCTTAGTCTGATATTATTTTTAAAGGGGACATATTATGCAAAACCAAGTTTTTAAT